TCCTATTGATAATAAAGAAAATTTCTGAATTTCACTCTAAGTGAAAATTTATGCCAAGTTAACATTACACCTCTGGCGCTTCCAACTTTCTTTCAGTGTTTCAAGTAACACAGGAAGAAATAATGATAAAGTCTACGTATTCAACATCGTAGCACCAAAATCCATGCCTTTTACGCATGAGGGACTTTATCTCGATCCCTAATTAGAGATAAGCCTACGCCTAACACGCGTTGTCGGTTAGTCTTTTCCCGTAAAAATGACAAAGTTTATGTATTCAAAATCATAGCATCAACTCTAAGAGGGTTTATTCTCTTAGCACAACGTTACATATGGAACGGGCTTAGATAATCCACATGCTAACCCGACTCAAACGGTAGTCGGTAAAGGCTTATCAAATCCGTTGATGGCTGAGGGTTTGCCAAAAATCCTATGCACGTTTGCAGGCCATCAGCTTAATGGATGTGAGCTGAGACTTAAAACAGATGAGCCAAAGACAAGTCAAAAATACACGGAAGCCACTTCCATGTCTTAAGTCAAAACGTTGAGGTCAGACCCGCATCTCAAGTTTAAAATGCAGGGTCCACCCCCATATTCCAGAAGTAGGATTATGACGCATACCTTCACACAGGTCCTACGTGGCAAATCCCTTCAACCAAGATGCCTTCGAAGCAGGTGCAGAGAACAAATCATTTACCACAAGGAATCAACAGCACTAAGATCAGAGTTGAGATCCAAAGTATTCCGAAAATTCGTCCCAGTCAACCGCGAACTTTCGAAAACTTTGGAGGGGGTTCTGTAGGCTGTCTAAAAATCACAATAGATAGCTGATCCCCATCAAACACCAATGATGGAAGTTACAATCTGACGACTTCCAGAATGCTACAATTTGAAGACTTTTACGTGGATCGATGAATATTACAATCTGACGACCTTCGCAACAACTGATGAAAGCTCTAATCAACAGCCTTCATAATCAACATCGAGAGTTACAATCTGACGACTCTCACATATCAAAGAGCTAAAGCAAAGATTACAAAACGACGATCTTTACAACGCTCTGACAGAAAGAGACTACAAATCGACGGTCTCTTCAAACCAAGACGTGGAAGTCCTCCCCGCGAACCAGCATCAAGACGCACCATGTTCATAGCTACGAACGCAGCTCAAATCAATAGCTGAACACAGCTTAAATCAGCCGCTGAACGCAGCTCAAATCAGGCGCTGAACGCAGCTCAAATCAGCAGCTGAACGCAAAACGCAGCTCAGATCTGCTGCCAAACGCAGCTCTTAAATCGTGCAAACGCAGCTTCCAAATTGCTGCAAATGCAGCTTCCAATCACGGCGTTCAAGCTTCCAGACACTGCGTTTGAACGTAGAATTCACACCAGAACGCAGATTTTGCATTTGACTCGTTCAAACACGAGCTGAACTGTTTCAAAACCGTTTCCCACGATCTGAGGGGATCACAACTTCACTCAGGAGTGATTTAAGGGGTGGTTACATCCCATTAGCCCCACTTAAGAGCGAATTAAGGAGGTGGTTACACCCCTTAATCCCTTATAAATAACTAAAAATCAATTCAGTTCAGGGGCGGTCGGTTGGAACTTCTTGGCAGCGAAAAAAGAATCCTTCATCCTTCGGTTGGAGCTTTGGAGATCGGCAACAAGATCTTCTTCATCCTTGGCTTATAACCGACTTTCGGTTAAATCAACTCTTTCATAGAGTTTTAAACTCGTTCAGAGTTCTCCACAACGTCAAATCGTGAGGAGAAGACCATGTTCCAGTGAAACAAGACATCGGATCGTCAACGGAGAGCGAACTCGACGCGAGCATTCGAGGGAGGCACTCCATCGCCACCGTGAAGAACCCAGAATTAAACAAAGGGGAGAATTCAGATCATTCTCCTCTCTTTTGTAATCAGGAAATCCAAATTGTATTCGATTTTAAGAGAATACAAGTCAATTTTCTTTCACTGTCTTTTTACTGCAAATTTTCCACAAACAATTAATTGAATCAATTAAACTTATGAACTTAATCAATTAAACATTCATTTTGATGAAATGATTGATCATATCCTTATAAAGAAATAATGTGTGTATAATGAACAATAAAGTAAGTCCATTATATTCCTATCATTGCATGTTGATATTATATTACTCATTAAGAATGATATTTTAATATCATGAGTAAAAGTAAGATTTATTTCTTTATGAAGGATTTTCTTTTGACATTCTATATCATAGATCTTAAACTCTATATAGATAGATAAATAGATATATAGAATTGTCACAATCTACTTATATGGATAAGATCCATAAAAGATTCAACTTAACAAGATTCCAAGAAAGGAATGATTCCTATAAGACATAAACAATTATTTTTTTAAGGAAATGTGTCCCAAAAAGGTTGTTATTGATCTTGTATGTAGTTTTCAATCCAATCCTAATAATAGAAAGTCTATTTCAGGTTATATGTATATCATTAATAATAATAGCAGAATATGTAGTGCCATGTTAAATCATTAAACGAAGGAATATGGATTAATGAGTTACTCCATAAGCTTAATATTATTTCTTGTAATAATTTTCTTTCTCATTATTATTTGATAGTAATGGAGATGTTGCAAGAAGCTTAGAAAAAAAATTTATCTTATTAAAGGTTAATAAGAAGAAACATGTAATGGTTTAATAGATGGCTGAGCAAATAACATTTAATATCCTTTTATAGACCATTGTCTTAAAATGTTTTTGACAGATGGGAGTAAGGATTACATCTGATTGGATGTTAGGGCAAGTGGGAGATTGCTGGAATAGTAATAATAATTTGCCCTTGAACATCCAATACAAATTATGTAATAATATGGTAATGTTAATAAATTTAATTATTGCACATAATTTGGGTATTATTTATATAATCGTTATATACATCCTTAGAAGTTATTTTGTTAGATCATGTACTGTGATGGTCACTTGCTTGGAGATATGATCTAACTTAGAAATTTCTTAAATTTGTGCTTAACCTATAACTAGTAAAGGATAACTTTATTATAACATGTTATTATGCATGACACCGATATATGAGATATGGTGGTGGGTCTCAACCATCAGGAATGAAGATTCTCCGGGTGTATGTCATAAGCACGCATTATGATGTGTGTAGCACTAGACCGTATTTGAATTCTCTAGGATGAGTCAGCTAAGAGATAGAGAATTCAAATTGTTACATGGTCCCTTTGACTTGATGATATTATCATTTTCGATTTGATAATTTAATATGCTTTGATGTGATGGTTAAGCTTGTTTAGTAATCGCTACACAACCTGAAACATTGGGTTGCTAAATTTTATTTAGAAAAATGATGGATATCTAGATAGGATCCAGTATGCTCATTATGATGAGTTAATTTATTATGCATTCCCATGAAGCTATTAAATTCCTGCCGGCAGGTGGTTTTGAAAATATTTTTAAAAATTTACTTTCTTATAAAAATAAATATTTTGATGTTTCAAAATGATTTTTATTTATGTTCATGGGAATTGCAAATTTAGGCATAAGTAAATAGGTGAGTTGTCCTGCTTAAAAGAGTTGCCTAAAATAAATGATACTGGAAGGGAGTGAATGTAAGATATTATTTATTAATAATTAATCCCATATTATGGAAGAGCTTTTATGAACAATTGGTCGGATAGGGATTTGATTGTTAAATTAAAATTATTAATTTGATTATAATTGGTTCTCGATATGGGGCCCAATTGGTCTCACTAATATCATTAGAAGAGGTATACATGTAATGCAATTCTATTTCCATCTTTAATTGTTATGGATAAAGTTTTTGAATAAATCTATTTCTATCCTTAATTGTTAGGGATAAAGTTTTTGAACAAATCTACTCTATCCTTAATTGTTATGGATAGAGTTCTAGATAATTATGAATTGTTTAAAGTTAAAATCTCTAAGACTAGTGTAATCCTATAAATAGGGTTCATATGTAGCCTTATGAGAAGAGATCGAAAACCTTATGAAGATAATATGAAGAAATAGATTTTTGAGAACCTATCTCTCAGTATTGCTTCTCTACGGTGACGGGTGGATTTCAATTGGAGGCTTTTTCTCTTGAGGAAGCTATTTCGGATTGATCTCGGGACAGATTATCGTAGAAATTCGGAAAACTTTTAAGGTATTCTTCTAATATTAAATTAATTTTGATTAATAGTCATGATATGCCTTTTCCGCTGCGTTGTATGTCATGTTTCCAACAGAGCATTGATATAAAGAGCACATGTTCGTTATTACGTTTCCATTATTTCAACGAAGAGCACTTGAAAATGATATTAATTGCTTGTTATGTCCAAATGCCGACACTATCCTCGTTCTATTCTATATATATTTGCTGGAACTAGGAACGGTTCAATGTTATGGCCAGGATATTTTAGTTTCACAAAAAAGATGAAAAATGTCAGTCATAGGCTTTTATGGAAGTTTCATTTGCAAAATGGATTCCATAATATTTATTTAGTTGCTTATTTTTCAGTATCTATTGTCTTATACATATTAAAAACATACGCCTCATGTAGTCAGGAACATATAACTATTCCAGTTGGACATCGAGGGTCTAAGGGCTAATAAAAAATGTTCACGACAGTGTCAGTCTACGTTTTTTGCATTGGCTAAACATTTAGATCCTAAATGTGGACTGACGGCGTCACGAGGGTTTTCTACAATTCCAATAGTTATCATGGGTCTAGTGTGATTTTAGACGTTATTGGGCGATTACAGCAAATTGCTGGGAGTTAGGGTGAATAAGTGGCTAACCCCCTTTGTACATGTTGATGTACCTGCTTTAACCTTAAGAAAGTGGTAGCTCTAAAAAAAATTGGCGGGAAAATGATCTTATACGTAGCGATCTTGTATATAGCGCATTCTGATCTTTTAGCAGAAGTAAAGATACTCACAAAGCTCCTACACATGCTGGAGCAGTAGCCCTGGAAACTGACTGGGCTGTCATTGAAATAACATTTGCAGCACCTCTTTGGTGCTGAGGCTGTCAATGAAATGCCAAGATAATAAGTTTGTAGTCTTGCAATAAATGCTTATAAAATATGAACAAATGCGTTTTACATATAAGTTGCAGATTACCACTGCATTGTTCTGCGAGATGAACAAGCCGGTGAATAGAGCTACCTGGTTTCAGAAAGCAAAGCATGCCAAACTTCTGAAGTTAGGCATGGTAGCGTTAAGAATCAACAATGTAACTCAATTTTTGCCGAAGAGTGGCATATATTAATTCTAAAGCCTTTTAACTATTAAAGTTGGAAATGCGAGCTGCTTATCACTACGTAACGAAAATGTTTTATAATAACTGAATTTATACTCACAGAAAGAACATTCTTCAATATGGATGCACAGTTCACCAATGAAAGTATGGATCCTGAAAGCTTGGACATAAATGGGCAGGCGATAACTAATGGTATAGTGAGAATCTGCACATCAGAATTGCAAAGCATAACGATAGGTCTCTATCTCAATGATAACATCCAATAAAAAAAGAACAGAGTGATGCACACCGTTGAAGCACATGTTAAAGTGATGGGTCCAACGAGCTTTCCTTTATTATAGGTTGCCTCAAATACTCAAATCCATATTGCTTTGGGAGTTCCTCTTCAGCTTGGTTTGTTTTGATCAAGAGTCCTAACATTAGACTTTGCACAACCAATCAAATTAGAAATTTATATCTACGTGGACTCTTGTTGGGTTTTAAGACATGTGGACTTCTATTCCTATTAGAACTCTTATTCCTTAGACAACAAGGAGCTAGGATCTTCAAGACTATATAAGAACAGTCTTTCAAGCCAATTTGAAGCATCAATCTTCAGAGCATCAATCAAGAAGAGAGAGTTATTTTGTGAAGCTTATTTGATATTCTTTTCTTTTGTTCTTTTAGTTGAGAGTTGTATTAGGCTTTTGGGGTGTTATTTAGGATCGAGTGATTGAGAGATTGAGAGATTCCACTTTGTATTCCTCACAATTAGTAAAGCTTTTCTCCTCCTTCGCCCGTGGACGTAGGATACAAGCCGAACCACGTATATCTTTGTGTTCGTCTGCTCTTGATATTTTGCGTGCTCTCATGTGATTGATATTAGCTTATCCTGGGGAATTTGTCATAACATCCTATAAATAAACAGTAGAAATACCACAAGACTAAAACCTGTACATAGACAAGCAGTAAGTAAAATTGCGCACTTTATAGGTGGATTAGTTAATTAATATTGACAATACATAAGTCATCATGTCCTGATTTACATCTACAGAGCTTGTGAACTGATTTATTTTCACTTCCTAGTGTCAGTTACTATCAGAAATATCACCCAATCCGAAAACTCAACTAGAAGTGAATTCTTTTGAAAACCCAAGAAATAACCAGTGATAAGAAAGCTATAAATGAATAATGGCGGTTAATGCCAATCCTGTTTGATCGAATGAAAACCTTAGGCCTCGCTAATGTATTTTAAAGGTTGAATATTACTTACATTAACCAGGCTATGAATGGAGGAACTACAATTGGATGTCCTGTATATGTGTGAATGTATATGTGTGTGTGCATGTTTTATGTGTGTGTGGGTGGGTTGGGTGCACGTTTGTGTATAATTATCATGAGTAAAACTGGTGAACTACCTAACATTTTCCTCCACGAAAATTAAAATAGAGCTGTAATTGATAGTACTCTCTCAAAAATCTTATCGAAACTTTTATCATGCTAGTCCGGCAATAAACAAACAAGCACAACACGGGAAAACGACTGTATAACAATATGGGTTTTAGCATTTATATACCTGAGACTGCCAGAACCTCACCAACATCCATATACGAAAAACTCAACCCTCCAAGTTTTCTATCGCTTTCAGCCCATAGGGAGAATATCTGAAAAAAGTTCAACATGAAATTTGAATAACAGATCAACAAAAGAACACAAGAACGAGTAAAATATTAAATGATGAAAATGAACTCGTCATGGATAGAATTGTCTGCATGTTTATTATTAAATGAGATGTATTCTAGTATTTCTCACAGAATTATGTCATTAAACTACTAGAATATACCTGAAATTTGTATTATCGTATACTACATATAAAGCTCAAAAGGGGTCATATCTTTACATTCAAGACTACAATTTCAGCGTTCTAACCTCATGAACAAAAAGTGCAGGGACAGAATTCAGAAGAACATGCTAAAATATAAAGTTTTACCTCATTGTAGGCTGTATCACGAAGGGAGAAAACACAGCATACGATGGTAGGTAACTTTAGTGGCCAATTTGAGAGAATATTTTCCTTATTAGGTTGAATCCCCTTTTCGTTTCCTACATCCTTTTCTCCCGTATCAGACCCAGTAAGGCATGCCTGCAGAGGTTCGATTGCTCTGCCTGCTGTTTTGCTCTCGGGATGATAGTGCAGCGTTTCCTGCATAATCATAAATACAATGAAACCAAATTAAAGTTGGAAAAAAAAATTCGTGTTCAAACCTACTATTTCCAGGTAGCCACGCGCCTTATCGAATAACAATATAGGCTTAAAAGAAACATAGCTTCAAAGTGATCCTAGTATAAGTGAGACTGTTACTCACTGGAAGCCAAAAACAGACACTAAGCACACCAGCGACAAACAGCGATATAATGAAATACGGCAAGAAGTAAGAAAACCTGCAAACATTTGAATGTTTGGCAAGAATGAGAGCAATAATGAAGCAACCAAGATTCAAGTAAGTACCTTCTAGAAATGATTCTTCAGAAACCATTCCTGGAAACTTCTTTGCAGGCTGACAAAACATATAGTAACTAAGAAGAATAGATTTGTAATGCACAAAATATTTCAACAATATTTAAGAACTAAACAACCGAGTAGATGTTTATATGGATTTTAACACTAATGTGGAGAGGATGTTGAAGCTAAAAAGCTGGAAAAGGATTGAGTGAAGTCCGAGTAGATCACAATCATGTACGCATTTGAAACACGTCAGTGTAAGTTGTTTTATATTGAAAACTGCATTATCCGTGCAAGGAAGCCTCCGAGAGCTGGACCAATAATGAGACCTGAGCCCCATACTGTACTAACCTGAACTAAGACGCCAATTGATCTGTTAGAACCCCTCGAAAGAATCTCTTTTCTTTTGAGGATATAGAAGCTAACATTTTAAATGTTTTAGATTACACGATATTAATTCCTCATCAATACTACCAAGCAAAGTAAACACTAAAGGTTCATACCAAGGACAGTCCGAAGGATTCATGCTCAGGTCGACAAACTTATATGTGCCTGAAAAGAAAGCCAAATTGCAAAAAACTTGAATAAGGAGTGCGCCAATTTCATCGATGTAGAAACACAGTGAATATTTTATCGTGCCAAGTAAATCGCTCATGGCTCCAAGAAAAAATCTTGTAACAATTGCCATCCAAAAATTTACACTCAATCCAAAGAGGGTGTTAAATATAACCCTGGAACACAAACAAGACAAAATTAAAATACACAAGAAAACCTAAGGAAAATGAACATTAATTCTTTAGTAAATAAGTAAAGTACGATGAAATGAGGCCATTAAGTATGACAGGTTTCCTTCCCCATCTATCAGCTACCATTCCCCAAACAAGAGAAGTCAAAGCTCTCCCAAGCATGTATGAAGAACCTTTAATATGGATGTTAGTATGAACTTGGTAAAGTCTGAATTGAACAGTATATATATACTTGTATCCATATCACCCGTTGGCTTACCAACAAAGCCTGCATAAAACCCAATATCTTCCACTCTTTTGGCAATATGTAAGTCCCTTATCTGTGATAGATTGTAAAAGTTTCATGAGTCATGAACTCTACACTCTTTTGGCAATATGTAAGTCCCTTATCTGTGATAGATTGTAAAAGTTTCATGAGTCATGAACTCTATTGATTCTGTAATGTTCAATATAGATTATCGAATGTACGTAAAATTTATGAGGCAATAAAAATTTGGAAGATAAAATACCTTAAACTAACAAAGAAAAAAGATGAAAATTTTATCGATTATATCCTCATCATTCAATTTTCTTGTGTGTTTCGACATACAGGATAAAACATTCATTGTTCTGACAACCTCAGGATAAAGTAAAGCATTTAAAGCCGTTAAGTTTACAGGCAATGAATTGCGCAACGAAATTAGGAGGATATACATGTGTTGGGAATTTACGCCGAAACCCCTAAAACAGCAAAAACGCAGTATAGAGAAAAGTACACTAAGATTTAACAAGGTTCGGCAATTGCCTACGTCCTCGGGAGCCTCACAATAAATTTTTATTAATCAACAAGACATTACAAAACAAGAGTCAATCTCAAACTAAGATCTCTTAATAAATACAAAGGCTAACACTGTAGCTACAGTGTATCCCTCTTAAATACTCTTTTTCAATTTCCTTCACCCCTCTTTAATTTCCTTCTTAAAGTCTCCCCTCAAATCCTTCAATTGAGGGCTGGAGAGAAAAAGGAACGAAACAGATAGAGAAAGAGATCGCGGGAGAGGAGAGAGCGGGAGAGCCGTCGTTGTCGCCAAGAATCGTGAGGAGAGAGAGAGAGAAGAAGTAGACTTAAAGGGGCTAGGGTTTCGGGTTCCCTTTTATAGCGGAACTCGACGACAGGCTGGTTGTAGTCTTGAAAATGTAAAGATATGACGCCTTTTGGGCTTTATATGTAGTATGAGCGATTTAATAGCAAATTGTCAGGTATATTTAGTAGTTTAAAAAAAAAAAGAATGACATAATTCTGTGAGAAATACTAGAATAGCATCTCATTTAATAATAAGCATGGCAGACAATTGCTATGCATGAGCGAGTTTTCATTTGTTCATCATTTAATATTTGTACTCGTTCTTTGTGTTCTTTGTGTGTGATTACTGTATTCAATTTCATGTTGAAATTTTTTCAGATATTCTCCCTATGGGCTGAAAGCGTTATAGAAACTTGGAGGTTGAGTTGTTTTGGCGTATATGGATGTGGTGAGGGTTCTGGCAGTCTGCAGGTATATAAATGCTAAAACCCATATTCGTTATGACAGTCGTTTTCCCGTGTTGTGCTGTTTGTTTATTGGCCGGACTAGCATGATAAAAGTTTTCGATAAGATGTTTTTGAGAGAAGTACTATCGAATTACAGGCTCTATTTTAAATTTTAAGTGAGGAGAAATGTTAGGTAGTTCACCAGTTTTTACTCAATGATAATTATACACAAACGTGGCACCAACCCAGCCCACAGGACACACATAAAAGCTGCACGACACAATATCCAGTTCACCGCATATAACAGGAGCATCCAATTGGTAGTTGCTGCATTCCTAGCCTGGTTAATGTTAAGTAATATTCCAACTTTAAAATACATTAGCGAGGCGCTTAAGTTTTCATTACCCCCCCGCCCCGCCCCGCCCCTCGATGCAAACTAGGAATTGCATTCAACCGCCATTATTCATTTATGCTCTTCTTATCAGCTGGTTATTTCTGGTTTTCAAAAGAATTCACTTCTAGTTGGTTTTCGGATTGGGTGATATTTCTGATAGTAACTGACATCTAAGGAAGTGAAAATAAATCAGTTGCACACAGTTGCTGGTAAAGGCTCTGTAGATGTAAATCAGGACATGATGACCTTATGTATTTGTCATTATTAATTAACTAATCCACAGCTGATGAAAGTGCGCAATTTTACTTACTGCTTTGGTCTTATGTGACAGGTTTTAGGTCTTGTGGTATTTCTAGACTGTTTATTTATAGGATGTTATGACAAATTCGCGGCGGCAGGATACAGACTAATATCAATCACATGAAGAGCAGCGAAATATCGAAGAGCAGAGCGAACACAAAGATATACGTGGGTTCGTTGTATCCTACGTCCACGGGCGAAGGAGGAGAAAAGCTTTACTAATTGTGAGGAATAACAAAGTGGAATCTCTCAATCTCTCAATCAACTCGATCGCTAAATAAAGCACCCCAAAACCTAATACATCTCACTAAAAGAACAAAAGAAAAGAATATCAAATAAGCTTCACAAATAACTCTGCGTCTTGATTGATGCTCTGAAGATTGATGCTTCAAATTGGCTTGAAAGACTGTTCTTATTAGTCTTGAAGATCCTAGCTCGCTTGTTGTTAAGGAATAAGAGTTCTAATAGGAATAGAAGTCCACATGTCTTAAAACCCAACAAGAGTCCCACCGTAGATATAAATTTTCTAATGTTGATTTGGTTGTGGCAAAAGTCTAATGTTAGGACTGCCGCCTTTTTTGATCAAGAAGCAAACCAAGGCTGAAGAGGAACTCCCGCAAAGCAATATGGATTTGAGTATTTGAGCAACGCTTAATAAAGGAAAGCTGCGTTGGAACCATCACTTTACATGTGCGTTCAAGGTGTGGCATCACTCTGTTCTTTTTTTAATTGGATGTTTATTCATTGAGAATAGAGCTATGGGCGTATATGCTTTGCAATTCTGATGTGGGGGCAGATTTCTCACTATACCATTTAGTTATCGCCTGCCGCAGTTTATGTCCAAGCTTTCCAGGATCATACTTCATTTGGTGAAGGCTGTTGCATCGCATATTGAAGAATGTTCTTCTGTGAGTATAAATTCAGTTATGTATAAACATTTTCGTTACATGTGGACGTAGCTGATAAGCAAGCTCGGCATTCCAACTTTAATAGTTAAAAGGCTTTTAAGAATTAATAATAATGGCCACTCTTCGGCAAAAATGAGTTACATTGTTGATTCTAACGCTCCACATGCCTAACTTCAGAAGTTTGGGCATGCTTTGGGCTTTCTGAACCAGGTAGCTCTATTCAGCGCGGCTTGTTCATGCTCCGCAGAACAATTGCAGTGGTAATTGGCAACTTATATGTAAAACGCATTTGTTTCCATAAATTTTATAAGGCTTTATTGCAAGAAAGCTACAACTTATTGATCTTGGCATTTCATTGACGAGCCTCAGCACAAAGAAGGTGGCTGGGCAGAATGTTAATTTCAGAATGAGAAGCTACCAGGTGCAGTTTCCGGGCTAGGTGCTCCAGCATGTGTAGGAGCTTTGGTGAGTTCTTTAATTCTGGGCTAAAAGATCAGAATGCGGCTTATAACAAGAATGGCTACGTAAATAAGATCATTTTCCGCGCCAATTTTTTTAGAGGCTAGCCAACTTTCTTAAGGTTAAAGCAGGTACATTCAAACATTGTTACAAGGGGGTTAGGCCACTTATTGGCACGAACCTAACTGCCAGGGCAATTTGCTGTAGATCGCCGTTCAATAACGTCTAAAATCACACTAGACCCATTGATAATATGGAATTGTAGAAACCCTCGTAGCGACCGTCAGTCGCACATTTAGGGTCTAAATGTTTAGGCCAATGCAAAAACGTAAGACGTGAGCACTGTACGTGAACATTTTTTATTAGCCCTTAGACGCGCTCGATGATGCAACTGGAATAGTGTATATGTTCCTTGACTTACATGCAGGCGTATGTTTTTTAATATGGTATCAGAGAAAGATCAGACTGAAAATAAGCAACTAAATAAAATATTTGGGAATCCATTTTTGCAAATGAAACTTCCATAAAAGCCTAATGAACTGACATTTTTCATACTTTTTTGTGAAACTAAATATTCTGGCCATAACATTGACCGTTGCCTAGTTCCACGCAGGCAGAATATATATAGAGATAGAACGCGATAGTGTCGGCATTTGACATAAGCAAGGCAATTCAATATCATTTTCAAGGTGGCTCTTCGTTGAAATAATTGGAACGTAAATAACGAACATGTTGCTCTTTATATCAATGCTACTGTTGAAACATGACATACACAGAGAGCGAAAAGGATATCGATGACTATAATCAAAATTAATTTTAATATTAGAAGAATACCCGAAACACTTTTCGAATTTCTATAATAATCTATCTCGAGATCAATCCAAAATAGCTTCCTCAAGAGAAAAACCTCCAATTGAAATCTACTCGTCACCAAAGAGGAGCAATATTAGTAAGAGATAAGTTCTCAAATTTTTATTTCTATTCTATTTGTCATATTATCTTCATAAGATTTTCTGTATCTTCATAAGGCTACATATGAACTCTCTATATAGGATTAGACTAGTCTTAGAGATTTTAATTTTAAACAATTTATAATTGTTCAAAAAGCTATCCATAACATTTAAAGGTAGAATGTATTTGTTCAAAAACTTTATTCATAACAATTAAGGATGGAAATATAATTGCATTGCATGTATATATACCTCTAATGACATTAGTGAGACCAATTGGGTCTCATATCGAGAACCAATTATTAATCAAATTAATAATTTTTATTTAACAATCAAATCCCTATCCGACCAATTGTTCATAAAAGCTCTTCCATAATATGAGATTAATTATTAATAATAATATCTTACATTCAGTCTCCTCTAGTATTATTTATTTTAGGTAACTTTTTTAAGCAGAAAAACTCACCTATCTGCTCATGCCTAAATTGCAATTCCCATGAACATAAATAAAAATAATTTTGAAACATCAAAAATTTTTATTTTTATAAGAAAGTAAATTTTAAAAAATTATTTTTAAAACCACCTACCGGTAGGAATTTAATAATTTCATGAGAATACATAATAAATTAACTCATCATAATAAGCATACTCGATCCTATCTAGATATTCACCATTTTCCTAAATAAAATTTAGCAACCTAACGTTTCAGGTTGTGTAGCGTTTGCTAAACAAGCTTAACCATAATATCAAAGCATACTAAATTATCTAATAAAAAATGACAATATCATCAAGTCAAAGTGACCATGTAACAATTTAAATTCTCTATCTCTTAAATGACTCGTCCTAGATAATTCAAAGACGGTCTAGTGCTACACACATCACAATACATACACCCGGAAAATCCCCATTCCTGGTGGTTGAGACCTATCCCACATCTCATATATCTGTGTTATGCATAATAACATGTTATAGAAAAGTTACCCTTTACTAGTTATAGGTTAAGCACAAATTTAAAAAAAATTTAAGTTAGATCATATCTCCAAGCAAGTGACCATCATAGTGTATGATCTAACAAATTAACTTCTAAGGATATATAACAACTATATAAATAATACCCAAATTATACGTGCAACAATTAAATTTATTAACATTATAATTGCCACGCGCCTATGCGGAAGCCTTGCACGAACTCACAACGAACCTGTGATCACGAGTCGAAGAAAGCCAAACTCTTGCACAAATCAAACCACTAACGCCAAATCAATCCAAACACAGAGATATACGTAGTTCGGCAATTTGCCTATGTCCACAGGGAGAGGATGGGGAGATTTCACTAATTCAAGGAGAGTACAAAGGGTTACAATCACACAAGAACTCTCAAACTAACCCTCAACCAAAGATCTCATCTTGCTCACAATATCTCCCTCTCACAATGCTCAAAAGATTCCTCAATCTCTGATATTAAACCCTCACAAATCGTTTCCCTATTTATACCAAAATAAAACCCCAATCAGATTACAAACAGGAAACCTGAATATGCAAAATACCCGTCGTAAGTCGACTTAACAGAGTGCATAAGTCGACTTGGCAGAGAAAAAAACAGCAACTGGAGAATACTTTATAAGTCGACTTATTAGGTTTTATAAGTCAACTTGGCAGAGCGAAAATTCACAATTCCAGCACAGATCGTAAGTCGACTCGTGCACACTGGCAAGTCGACTTACCATAAGTCGACTTAGCCTTGTGCATGAGTCAACTTATGCCAGTAAATCAGGTTTTTCTGATTTTTCCACAATTCTCCACCTCGGCGAATTTTGCCAAAACTGAGCCGACACCAAACCAAGAGCATCAATGTGTCGTCTCTCCAAATACGGCTGCACCACCATGGTTGCCTACGTACCCCCTCTCCCAAGGGATCAAGCCGCCCGTAGTTCATCCAAATGGCCGCCAACGGCCTCAACAATCACAAATATTCAACAAGTTTCTGCAATGATCAAACTTGTTGCTTGGAACCACCTTTGTGAGCATATCCGCCGGATTATCCTTCGTATGGACCTTCACAATCTCCACATCGCCATCTTCAAGAACATCTCGAACGAAGTGATAACGAACGTCAATGTGCTTCGTCCTCGCATGAAAAACCTGATTCTTCGCCAAATATATAGCACTCATGCTATCACAATGAATAGTGACGGATCGCTGCGATATACCAAGTTCTTCCAGAAGTCCTCGAAGCCAAATAGCCTCCTTCACAGCCTCTGTAACTGCCATATACTCTGCCTCCGTCATAGACAAAGCCACTGTCGACTGTAAGGTGCATCTCCAACACACCGGCGCACGGGTCAAAGTGAACACATACCCCGTCGTAGACCGGTGCTTATCCAAATCCCCGGCATAATCCGAATCAACATAGCCAATGCATAGCTGCCCACCTATAGTGTCCTGCTCA